TTTCACCTATATGTTTCTCTCTCTCCCTCTATAACGGTGTAAGCTTGATATACATTGTGCGCTCATTCCCTAATAGCTTAAGCTTATGGGTCTACTAGTTCTCCGACATCTTCGAGTAGGCTATCCACGTGTTAGGTCATGTTAGGCCCAACAACCGCATGGTCTCCCACGTCACCCTTTTTAAGTTGCCCATGTGTTTGACTCATGTCATGCCACATGTGAGGGGGTGTGTTGAGAGATATCCCACATGAGGAATGTAAAACTTTGCATTATGATATATGTCTTGTGTTGTGCCTCTCCACCCATTTCCATTTAGTTTTGGGTGGGATGCTCTGATTCTAACCCCCTATATATACTTTGTTCCAGTCTGATTTACAGTCTCAAACAATTTGACTTCTAATAAAAGATGGATTCAGAAAGTCCAATTTACACTGGCAGGTTATATAGAATTTGAAGGGAGCACGAGTTTCTGGCCCTCTTAATCTGCCTTAACTAATTTACTCAGGCAGGCTATATGTTTCTGCATGTATTGTTTCCAGAAGTTCATATATTTTATTCTTTGGTCAAAATGCTTTTTTGTCCCAAAGAGATAGTTTCTTGAACCAGTCATGGTACTTTGAACTATGGTGAGGAAATAGTTATGAGGTTGGCCATTATAGTGGCAACGTCAGCATTTGACTGGAAGCCAATGGTGGCATGGTGCTTAATGTGAAGAAAAAGTATATTGACCATGACTCTCTCTCTCAATAGTTAGGGTGGTTACTTGGCATTTGCGGCATAGTCAATAAAATACCTCAGTGGCAAGCACGCAATTACTGAAGGACAAAATTGACCAAGGAAGGAATTGGAACCTGACCATCTCCAAGGACTAAAAGTTTATTTAACCTTATTCTTAACTCTCTAAGTTCCTTTGTATCTATGACACTTAGAGAAGTAGTGTAAAGTATGACGCATATAATTTAACGTTGATCATTCATATGATATTAACATGGTTATACTTTTTGTCATCAATTATCATAACCATTCTTAATTATTTCTCATCACTAAATAAATTTAGTACCATATGATATGAGTTCCTGTCATAAATTAAATTTTGACGTCACATAAAAAAGAATGAAAATATGCTTACAGAAGAGGGAAAGTATTGAATCTTATAAATTTACACTGTATGCTTTAGGTGGAGGCTGTACAAGGGCATATGCTTCTACTCTCTGGTGTGGATTTGGTTGATGGGACAGTGAGTTTTACATTTTTCCTCTCTGCTGGCCATATCCATTTTCTTTGGTTCAGATTTTTTTAGTTTAGAAATCAAACTTATTTGGTTTACTTTTACCAACAGCCTGTACTCGATGTCAAACCTTATATTCCCTACTGCGACAGCATCCAAGGAGCAAGAGTGCCAAAGTGGTTAGCGGTATTATTTCCATGTCTCTCATGAAATTGAAATTGTAAATTTTATAGTTTCATGACATACTTATATTCCCTACTGCGACAGCATCCAAGGAGCAAGAGTGCCAAAGTGGTTAGCGGTATTATTTCCATGTCTCTCATGAAAATGTAAATTTTATAGTTTCATGACATCCAAGATTTTCCTTTTGCATGATTAGTGAACTATCTTCCATTATGGTCATGAGTATTTTCAGCTATTAATCTTGGAGGTTGAACACGTAGTGTGTTGGTAAAAGATGTTCATACACTATAGTGCATATGTGCTGAATAAAGACTCCACTTCAGTGGAGAGTAGATTTGCAGCATGGATTCGTGTCAGGGTTTAACTGTTCATTGAAGATTGATAACCAAAACCTTCAAATATCTATTTAGGGAGAACTATACATGTATAGTAGTTGTAGATATTTCAGTTTTCCTATATAATTGCCTTTTTTGAAGATTGTGAAATATTGGTGTACAACTGTGTATTGTGATTTTAAAGTAAACATACCTACCTCTGAGGCATCTTCCTATGCCAATTTAACTTGTCTGTACTCTTTTGGTAACTTATGTCATCAATTCCCTCCTTGTCTTAAGTTAATAGTCCATGTATTCTGCAGGTGGACAGTATATTAGCAGTAGCTTCTGTTAGTTTCTCTGAGATCTTCACTTCCACACTTGCTGATTGCTGGGAAATGGCAGTGAGTACTCTAATCTTTACTAAAAATATCACACCTTTACCATATTTTAAAGGGAATGTCCATTCCTTTATATTCTTTGACTAATTGTTCAGTTCTTTTTACAAATTGCACCATTAGCTTGCTTCCTAGCACTTCACTAGTAAAATCCAAACTCTTCACAACACTGGAAAGAGATAAAAACAAGCCTAAGAAAGGGATTCAGCTACAGTGTGAATGATAGTACAAATACAATGAATTAAGCCCATAAGTACTTGTCAAGAGGAAAATAAAAGGCC